CTAAGGACTTTGCACAAGAAATGTCCGAATACAACGCCGTATAAACTCTTTAGAGTTTTTTTAAACAAAGACATCAAGCTCCTTGTTGCACGCCACGCAACAAGTACATACCTTAATCTTAATGCTAGATACTACAAGTACTATACTGCACAGTGCAATTCGATTTAAACTGAAAATAAAAATCTGACAGATCTGGAAACATAAATCCTGTTTTAAAAATAAAAACATTGTATTGCATACGTTGTTACAAGTCCCAGCGCATTAGAAACACAGTTCTAAAATAACCGTATTAAAAAATAAACATCTGTCCTGACGATGAAGCGATCAAACGTTCTGAAACGTGTTTCTAGGAATCGAGATGGCTGGGGATCTCACTAGGGGACTCGTTCGACAACACACACTGAATTATATAACCCCTTACCTCCCCAGTTTCAGCTCAACGCGGCCGACACATAGTTGCTTAAAAAATGTTTTCGGACCCTCCCCGACCAACTGCTTGCATAAACAGATTTGAAGACACCCGGGGAGGCTGAAATCCTTTCTTCGTCCTCCGTTCTCAAGCTCTGGAAAGCGGGGAGACGAGGAGGTGGATGGCAATAAAAAAAAATAAATGTGTGCTGATCTCCCTTCTGTAGTGTTACGGCCCCCAGAGACCGAAACAGGAATTTGCTGGCGGTGCCGCTAAACTGTTACCGTCTGGCCGCCTGGATCAATGCATAAACTCCGACATTGTGCAGCGGCTGGTGTTTGTTGTTACAGTATCTCGGCAGACGCCGTAGTTCCCGCAGCTGTGCATCTGCGAAAAGTGATACGAGGCTGCAGCTCTTCTTGCGCTAGCAGCGAGCCGAGACTGCAGCAGCACAACGCAGGAGGATGCGTGGGGCTGGGTTTAGCACAGCCTACGTCAATCTCTCCTGCTTTAACTGCCCTCGCAGCCTCCTGGCAACAGGGACGAGGCAGCAGACAGGATAGGGCAGTGAGCTCCGGCTCCACCAGTCGGAGAGAACATCCCCGACTGTCCTGCTGGAGTCCGCAGACCAAAAAAAATAAGGACTCGGCTTTTGTTGATGTCATTTCTAATCATTTTAACAAGCAATTGACGCCATCCGCCTGCAGACTGTAAGACATGCGTCAAGATTTGTATTTTTACATGTATGAACAATACTCAAATGATCTTTTCTAGGATAACAGTGAGACATAAAACCAAGCCCTGCAATTGGAGCTGCGCGGCAGAACTACTCAATGCGTGCTGTGCACTTTTACTCTGGAAATGTGGGAAGTTACTACAAGCCTCGGCATTGCAGAGTGAATCGGAGGAGCGTCTTTATCTCAACAGTCAGCCTGGTCAGTACCTGAATGGAAGACCTCCTGGGAAAAACTAAGGTTGCTGCTGGAAGAGGTGTTAGTGGGACCAGCAGGGGGCGCTCACCCTGCGGTCCATGTGGGTCCTAATGCCCCAGTATTACTGTAAACAGGCGCCGTCCTTCGGTTGAGACGTAAAACCGAGGTCCTGACTCTCTGTGGTCATTAAAAAAATCCCAGGGCGTTTCTCGAAAAGAGTAGGGGTGTTACCCCGGCGTCCTAGCTAAATTTACCATCGGCCCTTACCATTCATGGCCTCCTTATAATCCCCATCTATGAATTGGCTTCATTACTCTGCTCTCCTCCCCACTGAGAGCTGATGTGTGGTGAGTGTTCTGGCGCACTATGGCTGCTGTCGCATCACCCAGGTGGGGCTGCACATTGGTGGTGGTGGAGAGGAGACCCCATTACCTGTAAAGCGCTTTGAGTGGAGTGTCCAGAAAAACGCGATATAAGTGTAAGCAGTTATTATTAAATTATAATAATTATTATAATAATTCTGGAGTTCTTAACCTGAGGGTCGCGCAATAGGCAACGCACAGAATTAACCAAAGGTTAACGCACACACTAGGGCGCATTTTCAGGATGGTTACACATCAAAGGACAATAAAAGAGGTTCACAATTAACTATTCCAGTATATACACCAGCAAATAGTTAAGACTATTTTCATTAGCAGGGTGACTTAGTGGTCACTCTGCGAGCCCATAGACCATCTCCCGGCTACAACTCCCAGCCTGCTCTGTTCTACATTAATTTCTTTTTTTTTCTTTTGCGCAAGATAGTCGTGATAAGCCTAGCAATGGAGCGTTTTTTAATAGGTGGCACTGGAAGAATGAAAGCTTAAGATAATGTGGAGAAACACACGAATGTGGAGAAACAGCAGAAAACTCCGAACAGGAAAAAAAACGAAGAAAACGAGAAAATACGACGAAAAGTACCTAAAGGACGGATTTACACAGACAAGTGATGCAGAGGTTGCACGACTGCTATGTGTGGTTTGTGGAAAGGAAAGTCTCAAGCCCCTCCAAATTGCTATGCCACTTGCAGACCAGACACTCGACCTTGCAGTCTAAACCTGTTGAGTTTTTTTTTGAACGAAAGCTACAGGAGCTAAGAGGCCAACAATCTAACCTCCAAAAGCCATCACTGTGAACCACAAGGCACTTCAGGCGTCTTTCGTCATAGCTAACTGGATTGCCAAAACTGGGAAGCCACATACGTTAGGTGAGACGTTTTTCTTACCGTGCGCTAAGGAAACGGTTTCAATCATGTGTGGGGAAAAGCGCTGCAGAGCAGCTAGCAGTGATACCAGAGTCAAATGATACCGTGTCTAACCGCACTGGGCGTATGGCAAGAGACGCGGAAGAGCAGGTGATCGCTAAGATCAAATCTAGTGTGTATTGTTCTTTACAACCTGGCGAGACCACTGATGTCTCCGGAGATGCACCAATGCTTGTTTACGCCAGATTTGTTGAAAAGGGGAGACATTAATGAGGATTTATTGTTAAGTCGTCCTCTTCCCGAGCGTGTCACTGGCGAGCAACTTTTCGTTTTGTCCGTGGGCATGAAATTGACTGGAACACGTGTGTGGGAATCTGCTCAGACGGTGAACGAGTTATGACTGGCAAACACAGCGGGCTAGTCACGAAAGTACAGGTCATTGCTCCGTCCGCTTTGTATGATTCATAGACAAGCCCCCCGAGCTCAAACAAGTAATGGATGAAGCTGTACGTACTGTAAATCCCATCAAGGCCAGTGCAACAAGCGCACGATTCTTAAAGATTATTCCAGAAATTAAGCATAGGATGACTGGAGAGGCAGCCTTTTGCTACTACGCATCCAAACTGTGGAATAGTTGAATATTTCCTAAAAACATTAGAGAGGCTGGCTCTGTGGATATTTTTAAACGGCAGCTCAAAACATATTTTTTTTACTCTTGCTTTTACTTGATTTTTCTTGTATAATTTCAGGGCTATTTGTACTGTTTGCACATGGTTCTCACATTTGTTATTGTTGCTTGTTTTAACTTAATATTTTGTAACAAGCACTTTGAGTTGCCAAAAATTGTATTGTATGCTATATCAATAAAAATATATATTTTTATGTGAGTAGGCTTACAGTCGATACAACATGACGATCCCCTGATCTACTCTAGGAAACATCAGTCGTGACTTCAAAGCAAGTCCGAGTAAATCTCATCTCACCCATTCCTTGAGGTTCCATCAGAGTTCACATCCACAGGTAGTTTGATCCAGACACACATAACAGCTAGAGAATAATAACTTCCCTTTATAATAATAATTGCTTACTTTATATAGCACTTTTCTGGACACTCCACTCAAAGCGCTTTCCAGGTAAT